CCCCCCCCCCCCCCCCGCCCCGGGGAGCGGTGCGGACGCTACTCCCCCCAGCCCCCCTCTGCTCCGCCTCCTCCCTGAGCACGCCGGCCCCGCTCTAATTCTCCTCCTCTCCCAGGCTTGCGGCGCCAAACAGCTGATTGGCGCTGCAAGCCTGGGAGGAGGAGGAAGTGGAGCGGCGACCATGTGCTCAGGGAGGGGACGTAGGAACGCTGTAAAAAAAAAATATATGGGGGCACCGCTTTTTGGTGCCCCCAAATCTTGGTGCCCTAGGCAACCGCCTAGTTTGCCTTAATGGTAGCACCAGCCCTGGGTGAGGAGGGAGGGAGAGGCTGAAGTAGGGTTACCATACGTCCGGATTTTCCCGGACATGTCCGGCTTTTTGGTTGTCAAATCCCCGTCCAGGGGGAAATTCTCTGACACCCACTCCCACCTCCTCCCGGCCTTTCAAGGAGCGTTCAGGGGAAGGGGCGGAGACTTTGGGAAAGGGGCGGAGTTGGGGTGGGCCCAGGGCGGGGAAGGGAAGGGGGCGGAGTTGGGGCTGGGGCGGGGCTCCTTGGAGTGTCCTCTTTTTGTCATTTTAAAATATGGTAACCCTAGGCTGAAGGGAATGGGGAGGGGGTGGGGCCTTGGTGAGGAGGAGGGAGGGGCTGAAGGGAGCAGAGAGCAGATGGAGCCCTTGTGAGGGGGAGGGGCAGAAGGGAGTGGGCGGGGCTCTGGTGACGGGGAGGGAGTGGCTGAAGGGAGTGAGGCGAGGGGAATGGGGGGCCCTTGTGAGCGGGGAGGGGCAGAAGGGAATGGGGAGTAAGTGGGGCTCTGGTGCGGGGGAGGGAGGGGCTGAAGGGAACTGAGGGGGCTGAGGAGAGTGGGAGGGAGGAGCTGAAGGGAGGCAGCAGTTCAATGAAAGTGTTTGCCATGGAGCTCTGGGGGATGGACTCCGCAGCCCAGGCCAAATCCAGCCAGTTCAGCCCCATTTCCTAGGAGCTGGGTGGGTTCTGGGGGAACCAGCTCCCTGGGCACTGAGCATCCTCCTTAGGGCTCTGCAGACACCCAGGGAGGGACTCCCTGCACTGCTGCTGGCAGCTCACTCTGGTTGTACCTGGCCCGTGGCTGGGAATGGTGCTGAGCAGACAGGCAGCGCTCCCCCACAGCACGCCCTAGAGGAGTGGAGCATCCTCCTTCCGTTTCTGGAGGTGGGGAAACTGCGGCACAGGGGACGCAGTTTACCCAAAGCTGCAAAAGAACTCTGTTGGAGCCGAGGTTAAAACCCAGATGTTCTGCCTCCCTGGCCTGTGTTCAGCCCACACTCTTCCCAGAACCACCATCCTGGGTTGAGAATCTGGGACTGCAAGTGGGTGCAGCCAGGCATGGGGCAGAAGGGCAGTGTCAGCCAGGCTCAGAGGCGGGCAGGCTTGGCTGCCCCCAGGGCATGGCGTCTTGACCCCTGCTGGCTCCGCTAGCTGGGCCTAGCTTTGCAGAAGGCTGAGGCAGATCCTGTGCTAGGGAAGGGGATGCCAGACCTTCCACCTAGAGCGAGGCTGGAACCCCCAGCCAGGAACTGCTCGACACACGCAGGGAGTTAGCGGGGGTGGCCTCTCTCCATGGCAGGGGCTCTGGGGTAAGCAAGGGGGTTCACTGCCTGGAAAGGGCTCTTGGAGGGGAGGAGGAGGTGTGTCAGAGGGGTGGCTGCGTGGAGAAGGCTGTGGAGGGTAGGGATGTAAATACCGTTTTATAAGTTAACCGTTTAAACTATTAAAATGTTTTGTTTAAATGGCTAACCAATTAAGCGGCTGGGGCTGAGATCGATCTGGCCGGTGTGGTTGCGGCTGCTCCGGCCAGACAGTGCAGGGTTAACCGGTAAAACTACTACTTACTGGTTAACCGGTTAACATTTTACATCCCTAGTGGGAGGCGTTGGGGGAGTGCTGGGGTGTGGCTGCATGGTGAGGACTCTGGGGGGGGGGCTGGGGGAGTGCCCTGGGGGCTGCGTGGAGAAGTCTCTGGGGGAGTGGTCAGGACTCAGTGGG